GTGGGCACAAATCCTTGCATTTGGCCTTTCTTGTCAGAAGGAGTGTGTTAGAGACATCCCTGTGTCTTGCAAGAATGTAATTTAGAATCCAGCTGCCACCCAGGCCACAGGGGCCCTTCCCCTCTCACAGACATGGTGAGTCCCCAGCTAACATACTTCCTAGGGCCGGGACCTCTCACTTGAGGTCCTTGAGAAGTGAGTTTACATTAAAGGGGTTATTGGTGGCCACAAAGCCTAGTCCCCACCCCCTCCCCTGTCCCTCACACCTAGAATCAGAACCTGTCTGCAGGTTTGTGTTGTGAAACCTCCCCCATCCTCAGAAGACGCTTCACTTCTGCCCTGCCGGCCCTGATTCCTCTTTGGAGCCCCCGCCGTCTGTCTGTCTGTCTGTCTGTCTGTCTGTCGTCTACGGCATGAATAACTTCTAATAAATGTCTTACTTCCCAGTGATCTGTGAGTGTCCTTAACCACCCACCTGAGACCTTTCAGAACTGCCCTTTTCAAACCAGCCTCTGACTTCAGTCTTCCTTCCTTTAGTCCCCAAAGATGTCTTGCCTCGGGCTTTAACTCTCCTTGAATCTCTTCCTCTTGTGTATTTGAAAGTGGCCAATTTTACCAGGCTCACTCCCACTTAGAAGGCATTCCTTGAGCTAAGCATGGTCATGTGACCACACTCTGGCCAATGGGAAACAGGCAGAAGTCACGGGCGCAGATTGAGGACCTCCCCCTTTCTGCCCACAAGGATACAGGTGTGTGGTGGGCACAGGGGCGTGCAGAGGGGACACCTGGGTCGTGTGGATACCGGCTGCTGACTGGCTACAGGCTGTCCCCTGTTAGAAGAGCATCTACCATAAACTGCCCCCTGTCCGTACACCCCTGCAATGGAGCCTCCTCCTTGGGACATGCGAGAGCGACTTCCAATGGAGGAAGAGGCCTGAGGGAGGGAGGAAGTACAACGTTCTTTCTAATTTTTCCAGACTATGAATGACAAAAATCTCTAAATTTAAGGATTCTTTGTAACCGTGCATATTAATTACTTCTTATAATGTTAATGAGTTTGAAAAAAATATGCACTCCTCCTGAAATAGTGAGCATTTATGAGCATGCTGGGTTGAGTTTCCTGACCATGTAGCTCATTCCTCTAAAGCTGATTTATTAACTGAGCAGCTACTAAGTGGGGTTGACTGGGCACAGCACACACCGTCTCCCTGCCCCTGTTCACTCTCCCCTGTGTTTGTAAGTGCCCTGGCCTCCTGGGTCAGTGGCTCCGTGAGTTAGTGAACGATGCGGGCTTGTGATTTTAGCTCGTTCATGGTTGTTCTTTTAATGGCTTCGAGGCCTTACTCCCCCATCGGCTACTCCGGAGTTCCCATCTGCTTTCCTGATTCACACAGCTTTCTTTTTCAATCCTGTCTGGTCTCCTCACAGCAAAGTCCACCCTCGTTCAGTGTCTGCGCTCGGGCAGCAGTTCTAACCAGTATCATTACTACTACTGTTGCTTGGTTCTTGCCGTCGTTGGGCGTAGGCGCCAGGCAGACCCCTGTCCTCTGACCACATGACCACGTGACAGCTCAACCACAGCCAGTTTTTCCTTTACAGAAGCTTGACAGTTTAGATGAGTGTCCCCCAAGGGATGTGTGTTGGAGGCCCGGCCCCAGGGCAGCTCTGCTGGGAGGTACTGGAGCCATTGAGGGGAAGGCCTCATGGGAGACTGGTAGCTTACAGGGGGAAAGGCTTACAACTCTCACTTGGGAAGTGAGTTTACATTAAAGGGGTGGCCACATAGCCTAGTCCCCAACCCCTCCCCTGTCTCCCTCCCACCTAGAATCAGAGCCGGGCTGCAGGTTTGTGTTGTGAAACCCCCTCGTCACTGCCCTCCGCTTCCCAGCATAAGACACAACCGCTCTGCACGCTGGGGCACACTTGGTCCGGAAGCCCTTGCTGGAGGCCCATCCAGTGCAACCACCTCATCTTGGACCCTGAACCTCCAGTCCCGTGAACAACGAAGTCCTTTCTCTCCATCGAGCTCACTGCCTCGGGTATTCTGTGCAGCTAAGACTTCTGCTTCTCCTCCTCCTGGAGGATGTGCCCGTGTGTCACACTCTTCCCTGTCCCACTTGGAACTCGTGTCTTTTGATCTATAGCCTGGATGCTCCAGTGGTCCCCAGGCACTTCCCTACAACCTGTTTTGTTGTTTGTTTGATTGTTTGTTCGTTCATTCCTTTTATCTACACACGTACTGCAGGGCCCGTGCCCACAGTCTGCCCACAGGGCTCCCCTTGACTCCCCTTCACCACGCACTTTCCATTTGGTCTTCTCCAACACAAATTCAGACCCTCATCTCTCCCACTCAGCCATAAATGCATGCGCTTTGCAAATCAGGTTCCATTCCATAATTTTATTTATTTTTTTTTATGTCTTTTTGAAGCAGGGTCTCCCTGTAGCCCCAGCTGGCCTGGAACTCACTATGTAGACCAGGCTGGACTTGAACTCACAGAGACCTGCCTGCCTCTGCCTCCCGAGTGCTGGGACTACAGGCATGCGCCACCACGGCCAGCTTATTCCATAAAATTTTAAAAATACTTAATTTTTTACTTGATGTATATGAGTGTATTCCTTGCATGTAGGTAGGTGCACCCATCTTGTGCATTGCTTGCAGAGGTCAGAGGAGGGTGTCACATCCCCTGGAACTGGAGTTACAGGTGGTTGTTAGCCACCATCTAAGTGCTGAGACTTGAATCCAGGATCTCTGCCAGAGCAGTCACTGTTCTAACCACTGAGCCATCTCTCCAGCCTCCAGTTGCAGAAATGTTCCATGCTGCTCTTCGGTGCCTCTGTTTCAGATGATGGCCGTCCCCTGGGGCCCCTGTGTCCTGTCCACCCTGCCTGCCCTTGCACCTGGCCTGGGGCCTGATCCTCAAGGGCGTGGCCACCTCTGGCATGGCAGCAGGGTCCTCAGATCTCCAGTTGAGTTAGTTCCCAAGACAGAATCAGCAAGTCGAACCAAGGACCCATCAGGAGTCCCCTGGTGAGAGGGGTGGTTGCTGGGACAGCGACTATCTGAATGTGTCTTACGGATGAAGCAAATTAGCAAACCAGTGACATGGAGAATGGGGGAGAGAGAGGCATCAAGAGCCTCATTTTGCTCTTTTTAAAAATTTTTTATTTATTTGTTTTTATTTTATGCATATGAGCGTTATGCCTGCATGTGTATAAGTGCATCCGTGTCATGTAATGCCCATGGAGAACAGAAGAGGGTGTCAGATCCCCTGGAACTAAAGTTATAGACAGTTGCTAGCCACCATGTAGGTGCTGGGATTCGAACCCAAGTCTTCTACAAAAGCAGCCAATGCTCTTAACCACTAAGCCATCTCTCCAGCCCCCTCATTTTGCTCTTAAAGGGATCCCATTCCCAGCTCTGTCCACTGACAGGGTCCAAAGCAGCCTGGGAGTGGAGGGCCAATGTGCACATGTGATTTTCAAAACCACACACCAGGAGCCTGAGAAAATGAGGAACATGGGGGCATTGGACAGGGAGCTGGGACATGACAGGACATCACCAAGGATGTCAAGATTCTCTCCACAGGACCCAGAGTCACTGAAGGGCCCCTGGCTGTCCACACACAGCAAGGTGAATGATAGAGATCCTGAAGCGGGGATGTTACATCCCTTGTCAGCCCTTCCCAGTCACTACCCACCCAGCATCTGTCCTGCAGCTCCCTGACCTTCTGTGCATCTTCTCTGCAACCCTCCTCCAACCCAGCCCTCAGTGAGCTCTGCCCCTCCAGGCAGTGTGAACAGCGCAGGAGAGCTACAGGGGAACCCCAAGTATATGCCCTGCCAGAAGGACCAGGCAGCCACCAGCTGTGCACCCTGAGGTCCTGGCAAGCTAGGCCAGCTCTCTCCCCTGCACCCATGTGGCTTCCCCATCCAGCAGTTCCCAGAGGAACTCAGCATGTTAACCTGTGCACAATGGGGCCAAATAAATGCTGGTCTAAGAAGAACCACTGTACACCTTGGGGAATGTAGGACACAGGACTTCAAAATGAGCAAGAAGCTCAACCAGCATTCCAGATCATTCTTCCAAGTTCACATGCCTTGTAAACAGCGGGAGCAGCAAGGAACTGCCTCGCTGGTGTAAAGTTTTATCACACTAGGACCACGGACCTCCCCGACCACACATCACCAACCAGTACAGAAAGCATGTGGGCTGTGGCCCTGAAAGTGTCAAGGCTCAGGTTACTGGGAGGCCATGGAACAACTTGGGTCAGTGCTGGTGAGGGTTGGGTGGTAACACAGGGAGACAGTAGATACCTACAAGCCAATTAGAGAGCAAGCCCTACCAGGACTGGTAGAGAGTAAACTCCTGCTGTTAAAACCCTCTAGTCTGACTTTGTTACACAGTGCTAGCTGACTGATACACCTTTTTTGCTAGCACTCTCTGAAGAGGTCATAGAACTCCCTACCTGATAGACCCCTCAATGCTATGAGAGGTAGAGTAGAAGAAGGCATCTATGGGGAGCCTGGAGCTATAGAAGGTTCTTGAACATGATTCAGTAGCATTATAAAAATGAGGGGTATGGGGAGGGGCTGAGGAAGACCAAGCTTCAGAAACAAGGGCCCATGGAGTCTCTAGGCCTCTACTGGCATCTCCTAACCAAGTTACAGGGATCCAGGCTCTGGCTGACTCTCTGCCCTTGAGGCCTTGACCCTGCCTTAGGGTCACCTCTCTCCACTTCCACTCCTCCCATTCAGGTGACTCCTGGCCACTCAGCCTGCAGTGACAGAACCCAGAGCTCAGGCCCTGCCTTAACCTTCAAGGCCTCATGGTCTGGGAAAGACTAGAAGTCCAGTGGGCCTACTGAGACAGTCTAGTCCTGCTCCTGGCCATCTGTGAGGACAGAAGAGCACCACCCAGGGTCCTTCTACCTGAATCAGTCAGAGCTGCCCTCAGTGGGCAAGGACCCGACTCCCGCCCTTTCTCTACACAGAGCCTTTGATCACAGTGGATGAACACAGCACTTTAATAAGCTGCAGAAGCTTTGTGTGATGTCTGTGGCCAGGAGAATCGAGCCAGGAGCCCAGGCAGTGGAGGTGGGCTGGGGGTGGAGGCAGGGTTGAGAAGGAGGCTAGTATTTGAGAAGCCAGCGTGGCTTGTGGGGACTCAGTGATGTGAAATAAGACCACCACCATGGCTTGCTACCTCCAGCCGGCTGCCTACGTGCTCTGAGGGGCTCCAGGCCTGGCTCTGTGGGCTCTCCCTGTGGCTCCCAGGACTGGGGCACAGCTCTTGGAAGCCCAGGAAGAAAATCCTTGGGAAGGAAGTTCTTGGGTCCCATCCCCAGAGGCTGGAGGATGAAGTCCACACGGCCGGCCCTCTTCATGCGCAGGGGTATGGTGACTCTCTTCATGACCTTGGAGTAGCCAGGGGCCTGTGCGATGACGATATGGGAACCAGGGGGCAGCAGCCTCCAGTAGTCACCATCAGGGGCTTCAACGAGAGTAAAAAAGACCCTTTGTGGGCTTCAGCCCTGATAGATGGGGATGGGCATTGGAACTCAGCTCCACCTCCAACTAGAATGCCCACATCTCTTGTGTCAGACCCCTATTCATCCTTCAAAGCCCTGCTGAGGTGCTGCCTCTTTTCTGCCAGCAAGTCCAGCCCTCCACTGGCCGGTGACTCTGCCCAGTTCCATGTCACAGGGGCTGTGATTTTTAACCAGCTGGGAAAGCAGTCCTTCCCAGACCATGAGGCCTTGAAGGTTAAACTGGTTTTAACCTCAGGTCTGAGGACAGTCAGAGCCCACTCCAGACTGAATCGGCCTCTTAGGTGAAATATCCATCACAGTCTCATGTGTTTGAACACTTGGGTCCCTGGTGAATGGTCCTGTTTTGGAAGGTCATGGAACCTTTTGGAAGTAAAGCCTCACTGGAGGAACAAGCCTTGAGGTTTTATAGCCTGGCCCTACTTCCTGTCCATGCACCACTTCCTAACTGCCAACGCACTGTGACCAGAGAGTTGCCGGCCCCCGCCACCATGCCTTCCCCACCATGGTGGACTGCATCCCTTGAACCCTTACGTTACTCCCTGTCCAGTATTTTGTCACATCAATGAGACAGGTGACCAAGCATCCTGTACAGGGTAAGATATGGCCTTTGGGATCTACAGGAACAGGCTCCCACAGGGAAGTGGCTCCTGCCGCCACTTCAGAAAAGGTGGCTTTTTTCTGGGAATACAGAACCTTCCAGGCAACACAGAAGGAGCCAAAGTATGGGGCAGGGGGAGGGGGAATCCCTGAGTGCCTCCGCCCTCCCTGACCAGGCTGAGAATGGATGGAGCTCTGGCACACTGGGAACCCAGCCCTGGCCATGTTCACAGATGGGTGATGCACTCGCTCACCTGTGGTGATGTCGTGGCGAATGCCTTTCACTAGGATCCGTGCATTCTTGACTGGTTTTCCATATTTGTCTGTCACCACGCCCTTGATGCCCCGATGGACCTGAAGGAACCAGAAAGATGGTGTGGAGGTGACATGTGCTCCCCAGCGGTCACCTCTGCCAGTTCCTCACCAGCCTCCTCAGAATTGGGGCTCTGCCAACCCTTGCTGTGTGACTGAATAAGTCACTCCCCTCTCTAAGCCTTGTTTCTTCTTTGGGGTGTCTCTGGCAACCTGCTCTAGAACATTCTGGGTTTTCAAATGGCACTACAGCTCTGCCTGAGGATCCTGAGGTAACTTCACCTCTGACTTCAGATACTGAGGGAACAACAGCCTTCCTCTTCCACCTTGGGTGCGTCTGAGCTCTCTGCTGTCCTAGCCTGAGCAGGCATCCACAGGCATCTGGGCAGAGGCAGCATGGGAAGGACACAGGCAGAGGCCTCAGACCTCAACCCGCTGCTGACTCTCGAATGCTGCCATTCACTGCCCCATGAGTGTGTACAGGGTAAGGACAGAGACTCACGGAGGACAGCTACAGATCTGGACATGCCCACTTGGACCCTGGTATGAACTGGCCCCACCCCTGCTGGCTTCCGGGCCACACCCCATGCCTCCTGCCCACTGCCAGGCCCCTGCCCCAGGGACTCCTGACCTTAGCAAACCTCAGCTGCAAAATGGGTCTAAGTGAGGCAAAAGCTGCCAATGACGCTCAGGGCTCACAGTGTCTCTGAGACCAGCAAATGTGGGAACTCGCTAATCCCGAGTCACCGCTGCCATGTGGGCTCAGACCCAACAGCTCCTGGCAGCTCCCACTCTCACGCCTGACCCTCAGCACCCAGAGAGACTCAAAAAACAAGCCAAACCCAGTGTCTTCGTGTCTCTCCTACGTTTTAGCCAAAAATAGTGAACATTCAGGAAAGGAGGGCTTGTGGATTCTGGAGTTCACCCCTCCTGATGTGGTGGACAAATGGCTGACTAGCACCTGGCTGATGACCCCACCTAGGTGTTCTTGAGCTAGATTTGCTGCTCTGTGGGGACAAACCCAGATACAAAGTCCTATGGAGTTCAAGTAGGTGGAGGGGCTGGTATGTGGGCACTTCAGAGGTGACCATGCCACCAAGAGCCTCCCTGCCTCCTCCTCCTCCACTGATGGCACCGAGTCCCCCACATGGCATCAGGGTTCAGCCGATCTGAGTGGAGCTGCCCCTCAGGTCAGTGGCCACTGCCCACCTCTAGCCCAGCTTCTGCATACGTGCTGGGCCCCTCAGACCTCCACCCTCCACTTTCACCCTTAGAACATTCTGGTCATCTTTGACAGGAACCAGTTTTCTCACCCTCCTAGACACATTCATTCCCCCACTCCTCAGGATGCTCGCTGCCTCCGTTGGCCCAGTTTCTCTCTCCCAGCTGAACCTCTCAGAGCTGGCTCTTGTGCCTCCTCTGTCCCCCACTGGAGAGCAGGGCCTGTCCATAGGAGCCCCTCCCTCCAATCAGCTTCCCTTGGGTCTGTGCTTCAACTGGGGTCCTCTCCTGCCACCCCAGGGCCTGGAGCTGTGTGGCAGGAGGGAGAGCTATCTCTGCCTCCCTACCCCCATCCCTGGGCCTGCTCAAGATCACTGTGAAAGTGGCCTCAATTGACCACGACAGACCTGATCCTTATCAGGAGCTGCGCCCGCTTTCCTGGGGGTCATCTGTCTCGGGAGCTGGCCAAGTGCTGCCTGACTGGCCGCCGCACTGCTCACCATTAAATCTTCATACAGCGAGACTTCACGTACAATATCCACAGAGTGATCCCAGCCCCACAAAAGGCTCCTTCTAACTCATTTTCCCCAGATGGCCATAAAATGGCCTGAGTGCCAAGCTCTGCCCCATGCCCTGGCTGAGGACGAGGCGTGCCCTGCCTGGCAGACTCACCAGTCCACAGAAGACACCTGGTCACGCAACCAAGTTCTGTGCTACATGGGGGTCCTGGTCTGCCCACTGGGCTACTATTGCTGATGCTTCATGGAGGCTCAACTGCTTCCTACCTGAAGGAAGTCTCCTGATCTCTTTAGAAAAGAGAAGAGGCAGAGACATAACTTAAGAACACAAGGTCTAGACCTGAGCTCTGGACAGCTACCAGGACACACTGCACAGGCCATGTCCTGTCTCTCCTTTTGATTGCCACAGCCATGTGCCCCTGTGACCATGTGCCACAAGGGTCCTTTCCTCAAGCCCTGACACCTAAAGGTGGGGCTCCCTAGGAATGGGGACACCTCTGGGTGGGGTCACCTAAGGGTGGGGCTTCCTGGGGGTAGGTCCTCCTGAGGGGCATCTTAGAGTGAAGGATCCTGAGTTGGGGCCTCCGAGAGGTAGGGCCAACTGTGAACCTCTGTACATTTCCACAGGCGCTCTGTACCTGAAAGTGCTTGACTTCCTTGGGAAGTATCATCTCCCTGTGACATCCTGAGCCCCACCAGAAACCAAATACATGTGTGTGAGTTTGGTTGGGAGAGGCATCGGGTTCAGGCACCTAATGCCCTCCCATGGTAAGCTTTTGGAAGACCCTAGCTGAGGGGTCCAATAGGGGTTTCTGAAGCTGCACCCTCAGTGGTACCCACCCGCTGCCTGCCTACCTGTGTCCAGATGACCTCAACCCAGATAAGCCATTACTCTCAGGCAGGCTACCCCCAGCCCTGGGCCTCTGACATCTACACATGGTGTCTCCCAGAACTATCACCTCTATGAGGCCCTCTCCCACACAATGGCCACTGCATTCTTGAAGTCACACCCCTCCCTCCAGTTACAGGGACCTATAGGTCTCAAATGGCCCCACTGAGTCCCCTGACTGCACTCCAATCACTCAGAGCACGCTCTCTCCCTGCCTGGTTCCTCTGTTTTCAAGATTCGGCCCATCAGCTGCTGCCTTCAAGAAGCCACCAATGCTTAGAGGCTGGCCAGGGGCCACCCCCAGGCTGCCAACCCCCATGCTCCCCTTGACAATCATCAGGTGTGAGACCCTTGCCCATAGGCATCTACCGGGCACCTCCAGGGCACACAGAAGAAGAGGTGGCTGGGAGCCCCAGGCCTGTGTGAATAGAGAAGCCAAGAACAAACAGCCCCACATAGTACCAGACAGTGCCAGGAGGGTGGCCTGGGGGCAAAGCCCAGCCACACCCCCACTGGAGGAGCCTTTGGTGGGCAGGGCTCACCATCTCCATGAAGTTCAGCAAAGGTTCCTTGTTGTGCTGCCAGAGCCCGTACAGCACCTCCTCAGGCGGGAACTTCACACAGCCCAGCTCCACCGTGATCTCAAAGCAGTTGGTGTGCAAGTAGTTGAAGTCAGACATGCCTGTGGGATGGGCAGTCAGGGACAGAGACCCCAGGGAAGGCACAAGGCCCTCACCGATTCATAGGTGGGGGTGACTGACCACTCATACAGTGGACCTCACTTTTCTTCCACACACAGACAGCCTTGAGGACAGGCAAGGAAGGACCTCAGCAAGGCCAGAAGGGTGGGCTCTGAACATAGGCAAACAGCCCTCACCTCCACCCTGTGCTGCATTGGAATCTCATTCTTCCTGAAAAACCAGCTGGGGTGCCACACAGGCCAGTGTGCCTCAGCTACTGGAGCCCCGCGGAGTCTAACAGTGATGGCAGTTATCTGGCTACTATCTTAACAACAAGCCCAGGGAGGCCTGACCACCTCCATTTCCCAGCAGGGCTAAGTGTGGCAAGCCTCACAGCAGAGAATCAGGAAGACCACTCTGTCCCCTTTCCCTGCCCCTGCTTTGGGGACTTCTTGAGTTTCTGAAGCCCAGGGAGACAACTGCTATTGTAACTGTCACTGCCCACAGTCCCCAAGGCTGCCTGCCACTGTCCATCTGAGGGCCCATCTGCCCTGTGTCCCTGCCAGCTGCTTGGAGAGGGGGGGTGTTCTGCTGGCCTCTCTAGCTTAGCCTGCCTTATGCAGACCTCAACAGTGGAAACTGCTGTTGCCAGGGCACCTGCAAACTGGGAGGAAGAAAAACTGTCATGACCTAGGAGAAGACAGTGCATACCAGTCTCTGGCAGCAAGGAAGGTTCTCTGAGGGTGAAATGGTGCTTTGGAAGACATAAGATGGGCACCTTTGAGCTACTTGCACAAGGCTGGTGAGAGTCAGAATAACAAGGTGAGTCCTGACCTTGCTACATGGGCCTGGAGAGTCTGTCCACTGCCCTCATCTGCAGAACAGTCCCGGCAGGAAGTGTGTTGTGGTATAGTAGGAAATGGCTGAAGGACAGCTGTGTCAATGAATGTGAGACATTCATCAGGTGCCCCAGGACATGTGACACATGTGTTCCACACTGTGCCTGTAATGCCTTTGCCCAGGGCACAGCAGACAGAGAGGACCCAGAGGCCTAGTGGATACTGGAGAAATCCCAAAGAGTGCATGTACCTATGGTCTTGGACGATGAGTGTATCCCACACATTAGGACACATTACACAGAATTGAAATATCCTCCATTGTCTCTGAAATGCCAGCCTTACTGGGGCTCTGCTACTGCACCTGCCGGCCTTACCCAACCCCCAAGGCAACAAGAGCACAGACACAAGTGGAATTGTGTGGGTGTACTTAAAATAGACCAAACAGCAGCTGCAGAAGTCACAGGACCAGCTCCTGTCCTCCCCGACCCGCCTCTCCATGAAGACAGTGACTAAACTCCAGCCAGACTCTGTCCCAGAGCTTCCCTCCCCTTAGCAGTTTCCCCACACCAGGGTTCTGCTGAGAGAAGCCCCACCCGCCCGCCTGCGCAGGTCGCACCTCCAGTGAAGCTGTACCAGTCTGCCCCGTTGATGATGCTCCCCCGCTTCAGGAAGTTGCCCCCACACCTGTTCTCCGACCTGTCCATCATCATGGGATGAACATCAGCATAGGCTCTGGCCAGCAGCTTGAACATCTGGAAAGGAGATGGAGACAGAAGGGCGTGCTTTGAAGCCCTTTGCCATCTATCCATTCTTGGCTCTGGGGGTAGGCCCAGCACCTGGGCTCTCTGTCTCCCTCCCAGTTCTCCTCCCCATTCTTGCCTTAGGGTCACCATCCAATCATGTCCCTCCACTGCCCTCTGGGTGAAGCCTTAGAAGAAGGGTTCAACCATCATCCCCAAAATCCCAGGGCACATGAGACACAGGCCTGGCTTGGAGCAAGGAGGTAGAAAGGAGCAACCTGTCTGCAGGCTATATGGGCGAGCAGGGCACAGACACAAGAACTGCTCATGAACAAGGGTGGTCGGACACTGGAGAGGACAAGAAGAAACCAGAGACACAGGCCAGCAGCCACAGCAATCTGCCCACCAAGCACCTGTCTAAGCACTGAGTGAGTGAGTGAGTGAATGAATAAATTAATGAGTGAATGAGCAAGTGAGTGAATGAATGAGTGAGCAAATGAGTGAGTGAATGAGTGAGTGAATGAGTGAGTGAGTGAATGAGTGAATGAATGAGTGAGTGAATGAGTGAATGGGTGAGTAAATGAGTGAATGAGTGACTGATAGTGAGTGAATGAATAAATTAATGAGTGAATGAGCAAGTGAGTGAATGAGTGAGTGAGCAAATGAGTGAGTGAATGAGTGAGTGAATGAGTGAGTGAGTGAATGAGTGAATGAATGAGTGAGTGAATGAGTGAATGGGTGAGTAAATGAGTGAATGAGTGACTGAGTGAATGAGTGACTGAGTGAATGAGTGACTGAGTGAATGAATGAGTGAGCAAATGAGTGAGTGAATGAGTGAGTGAATGAGTGAGTGAATGAGTGAATGAGTGAATGAGTGAATGAATGAGTGAGTGAATGAGTGAATGAATGAGTGAATGAATGAGTGAGTGAATGAGTGAGTGAATGAGTGAATAAATGAGTGAATGGGTGAGTGAGTAAATGAGTGAATGAGTGACTGAGTGAATGAGTGACTGAGTGAGTGAATGAGTGAGTGAGTCAGTGAGTGAATGAGTGAGTGAATGAATGAGTGAGTGAATGAGTAAGTGAGTGAGTGAATGAGTGAATGAGTGAGTGAGTCAGTGAGTGAATGAGTGAGTGAATGAGTGAGTGAGTGAATGAATGAGTGAGTGAATGAGTGAGTGAGTGAGTGAATGAGTCAGTGAGTGAATGAGTCAGTGAGTCAGTGAGTGAATGAGTGAGTGAATGAGTGAGTGAGTGAGTGAATGAGTGAATGAATGAGTAAATGGGTGAGTGAGTAAATGAGTGAATGAGTGACTGAGTAAATGAATGAGTGAGTGAGTGAGTAAATGAGTGAATGAGTGAGTGAATGAATGAATGAATGAATGAGTGATTGAATGAATGAGTGAATGAGTAAGTGAGTGAGTGAGTGAATGAGTCAGTGAGTGAATGAGTGAGTGAATGAGTGAGTCAGTGAGTGAATGAGGGAGTGAATGAGTGAGTGAGTGAATGAATGAGTGAGTGAGTGAGTGAATGAGTGAATGAGTGCATGCAGCAGTAAGGTAGTGACTGAATGACTGGATGGGTGAGTGGCTCAATCAGGGACTGAGGGAGTCAGTGAAGGGGCAGATGGGTGGACACAGAGGAAGCACAGAGTGCACAGTGCCAGCGGCAGACAGGAAGGCACTGAGCTGGTCTGGCTGCACAGAGGCCCCTGACACCTGGGGGCCTCACACACTGTCACTGTGCCCGCAGCACCCTGCCCTGCTGCGAATCCCCAGTAGAGAAGCTGCAGTTTCAGGGAAGCCCTCTCTAAGCCTAGGCCAGGCCTGGGTTCCTCCTCCAACACAAACGCACATGGGTACACATGTGAACACAGGCACTTTTCTAATGATATGCAACCACAAACATGAACATGTATGCATCTGTGCTCACACATGAACACACATACACTGTGCCCCCAGCTTCCTGGGACCCACCATGGAGGACAGGCTAGCCTGTCCTTGTTTGTTTCTAACTTTGTCTCCCTCCATAGAGACGGGACCTTCAGAGAAGGAACAGTACCCTTTGCCATGGTAGCCCCAGAAAAGGGGAGGGGTTGGGTGAGGCCATGCTTATGCATAAATGACCAACAGGGACTGGGGCAGCTGTGTACATGACCATGTGGCTCAGAGAGCAGGGCGTCTGGTACCTGGCCCTTGCCCATCCTAGATGATCCCCACCTCCCAGTCTCTCTCATTAAGTATATCGTGAAAACTGTCCTTGAGGGTAGGCCTGACTCCCTGCACCCATCCAACTCCCCAAGAGGCCTGGTGAAGGACCAAGCCCAGCTCAGACCTGCACGGGCCCCACCTGGAGCAGGAGTATGCAGCCTCTAGAGGTCCAGGAGGACAGGGACTAGAAGACTGGACACCAGCCGAGCATCCTCTTCCACTGCCTGCTTTCCTATCCACTCAGGGGGAGGACCGGCTCCCATCCCCTCCCAGAAACAGGGTGGGGTGGCACAGCAAGATGGTTTAAGGGATGAGTGGGGTTGGGAGGGTCCCAATGTCACCCAGTCTCACTGTAGTGAAGGAAACAGGCCAGATAAATCAAGGATCTCACCCCAGTGAGCATTAGCAGTTGTCAGAGCCCACTGGGGACCATATGTGGGGCAGCACTGCCCTCTGCTGGTGTGATCCAAAACAGCATGAGGCACTGTGAGGTCAGTCACACTCTGAGGTGTAGACAGTGAGGAGGAAGGGCGGCTCCCTCGCCCCTGGGCTGGGGGCTTCATGGAGGAGGGGACAGGGAGCAGAGGCCCCTGAGGGTTCAACAACACCTATGGCCTCACTGATCTCAAAACATGGCAGTGCTGATGAGAGACCACTTGCTCAGCCTTATCATAGAGCCCGCCTCTCACCTTCTCGTCAGGCGTAGGAGAAAACATCTTCTCCTCTTGGGGGTGCTTGGAGAAGTCAAAAGGGTAGGACACTACCAGGTCACCTCCGTGCAGGCTGGCTGAGAGGACGAAGGGGATACTCTGCATCCACTTCATGATGGCCTTGGTCTCGGGGGCCACCTGTCGGGGATGGGCGAGCAGTCTCCAGACTCTGCCTACCCTACTGGCTACCCAGACTCATGCCTCCACACCCCAAACCCAACAGAACTCCTGCCCAGCCAGTACGGTTCCCTTCAGTCACCACTGAACGAACATCAGTCGTTCACCTGGAGTTCACTTTGCCCCTCCTGGTCATGTCACCCCTCCAGTCAGCCCAGGGAACCCTATGGCTCCTGACTGCCCTGTTCTGCATTAAGTAGCCATGCTAACTGCAGAGTAGATTCCTGCATTAAGCAGGTTACACCAGCTGCAGAGGAGAGAGGCCCTGTCATGCAGGGCCCGAACCTGCATACAGGAGGTGCTCACCACAAGTTTGAAGGACACAGGAATTCTGGGAATGCACTTGGTACAAGAGAGCTTTGGCAAGCTGCAGACCCATGTAAGTCCTGCTGGGGACCAAGGGCTTTCAGCACATTACCTGGGTCCAACAATGGCCCAGTGAGGCTCTACCCAGCTCATGGGCCAGACACCAAAGCTCTGAGGTTTGAGGCTCATGTCCCGGGGAAGGACATCTGGAGACTCTGCTTTGGGGAGCGGACCCAGCTGCACGGCTCCTACCTTACCCCACCAGTAGTACTGCGAGATGGGGATGTGGTCTGTGCGCACGCCCCGATTGGAGGCCAGCCGGTAGTACTCAGATGTCAGGTCTGGGAAGTTGCGGTTCAGGTCCAGGTTCTGTGCATTCTGTCTCCCGCTCGTCCAGCCATTGTAACCAGCACCCTGGAAGACACAGGCCCAAGTGGAGCTCAGCATGCTTCACCTTACATCCACCAGGCAGGCCTGTAGCTGGCCTGAGAATCAAGAAAGGCTGTGGCTTCTGTGGCTTTGTGGGATGAGCTTAGGAGCTTAGGTGTCCATAGGTCACCTCTCCCTCCCACTGTCCTGTCACTCTCCAAAGTCATAGCTTGCATGCTGCTCCCCTGCCTGGCGCCTCATCAGCAGTTCTTGCCTCCCTCGGCTCTCACCACATCCCTTGGTCCCTCAAGGGCTTCCTTGACCCCACCAGAACACCTACACTGCCAGCCCTCTCCCATCCTTCTCTTGCATGCTAGGCAAGTGCTGTACCCACTGAGCTACAGCCCCCAGCCCTATCCCCTGCCTGCCAAGCAGGACCTTACCAATACCAATGCCTGCTAAGCCCTAGTCACCTAGAATGATGACTACAAACAGACCCTCAATAACAGTGAGTAAAAGCAAGGGTAAAGAGTGGCAGGGGCAGCAAACCCCATTTGGGCAGCAGGAGCTCCCACCTCTGCGGATGCCACCTCATAGCCATCGGGGTTCATGGAAGGCAGCAGGTGGATGCGGGTAGTGTTCAGTAGGCGCTGGATTCGGGGGTTGCCCAGCAGGTATTCGGAGCACAGGTACTGGGCCAGGTAGATGAGCATCTCCCGTCCCGCAACCTCATTGCCGTGGATGTTGCCAATGAGCTTCACCTCAGGCTCCACTGAGGGAGAGATTGTGACATGGGGTGTCGTCTCATAGACTTGGGTTCCTCAGAGCCTTGAAGCCCCCATTCAGCAAGGATGATCACCAAATGTCCCTGGACCAGTTCCTATTTGTTTTGATTCAAGAGTCTCTGGGCATAATGAGGAGTAGGGCGCTCACTTCTTGAACTCATTTCACAATTATTAGCATAGGTAAAGGATGCTAATAATCATATACGGCACCATTGATTCATATGACTTTCATTGGTAGCCATTGTCCATGTTTATGCAACAAGTTAAGCACATTGATGCTTAATGGGGAATACAGCTGGCCCTGGGATGGATGGATGGATGGATGGATGGATGGATGGATGGATGGATGGATTGAGTGAGAAGATAGGTGGATGGTTAGATGATAGAGAGGTAGATAGATAGGATGGATGGATGGGTGGATGGATGGGTGGATGGGAAGATGGGTGGATGGATGGACGGGTGGGTTGGTGGACGGATGGATGGGTAGTTGGATGGACTGGGTGGGTGAGTGGATGGATGGATGGATGGATGGATGGATGGATGGATGGACGGATGGGTTAGTGGATGGATGGATGGATGGATGGGTGGATGGATGGATGGATGGATGGATGGGTGGGTGAGTGGATGGATGGGTGGGTGAGTGGATGGGTAGATGGATGGGTGGGTGAGTGGATGGATGGATGGGGGATGGATGATGGGGGATAGATGGATGGATGGATGGATGGATGGATGGATGGATGGGTAGGTGGATTGACGGATGGGTGGATGGTGGATGGATGGGTAGGTGGGTGGATGGATGGATGGATGGATGAATGGGTGAGTGGGTGGGTGGCTAGATGGGTAGGTGGTGGATGAATGAATGGGTGAGTGGGTGGGTGGATGGATGGATGCATGGATGGCTGGATAGATGAGTGGTTGGATAAATGGATGGATGAATGGATAAATTAAAGGAAAGGTGAATGGATGTATTAGTAAGTACAGTATGTGAATGGATGAATGAGTGGATGGATGGTGGATGGATGGGAGGAGATGGATAAATGAATGAAAGCGTGGATGGCTGGGTTGTGGGAAGAGTGGACTAGGCCCGGCCGCCTCTTCAGTGTGGCTGTGGACAAGTCCCCTCTTCTCTAAATCTCACATTCATTGTGTGGAAAATGGAATCTCCCACCCCACCTACAGGAACAGCTGGGCTGAGGATGAAGCCAAGGAAAGACCCAGACTTGATAATGCTCTCGGTGCTGTGGGAGGAGGAACCTGCAGGGTCAACCTGGCCTTATCCCACAGGAGATGGACTCCCAAGCCACGTATCTTCTAGAACATTCTAGGTTCCCATATGCAACCAGCTAAATGTCACCTCCCCAGCTCAGGGCTGGCAGCAATTACACTGTAACCAAGTTTGATTTCCTAATTTGCCCTGCTGCAAAGCAGCTAGGAAGGACCTAAGCAATCTAGCAATTTCCATAGCTCAAAACAGGCCTCCACACCTAGTGGCAGTGGACCTTGGTTTGGAGATGGAAAACCCACTGTGCTCACACCACCCAGTCGGCAGAATGTTCCTGAAGAGTGGAGCAGAGCTGAGAGAATGCAACCAGGACCCAGACCTGCACAGACCCAGGACTGACAGGACTGCAGGGCAGTGGTGGTGACAGTGACACTCTCCACACTAACACTCCAGGGTCAGAGCTCTGGGAACACTGACACACTGCTCCTCCCTGACCCAGTGTTTCCTCCAGGACCTGCCCCAGTCCCTATAGACTCCCACCTCCCAGAAAACCTTGTGCTGTCCCGGAGGATAGATTTATTAATTTGCTGCCACTCAGTCCCCTCAGATCAGTGTCTGTTGAGATAAGACCATCTCTTCTCCCCATCCCCCAAACTCTCAAGTGATATGGGTTTCTGGAGAAATCGTTTTTCATACTGTCTGGGTGGGCTGTGCACCAAGCACAGCCCCACGCATCTCCACCCCTAGTTGGTCCATGGGCGTGTGGAGACACCAAATGGCCCCTCCCAGTTTACGGAATCCTGCTCCCAGGGACTTAGCCCCCACCTCCCTGGACCTCATGTGGTCACTTACTAAGCTCATGCTGGCCCGGGCGGCTCGAGAACTCGATGACCAGCAGATCCTTGCCATCAAAGCTACGCCCAATGCTGTAAGTCTTGGCCACCTGGGGACAGCGGGAGGCCGTCCTCTTCAGCACCCGTACCATCTGGACGTAGGAGTGGTGGGCGAAGCGAATGAAGGTGGGAGGCAGGCCCGAGGGTGGTGCCTCCTCAATGTCCAGCTCTCCTGAGGAAAGAGGAGGAGTGGGGCTGGGATGGGCACTGCCCATTCACCAAAGTTCAGGTGGCCCCTCAACCTCTCCCAGTACCCTCACCCCATCCCACTATACTGCCATGCAGCAAGAGGTGGGGGGAATCTGAGGGACAACATATGGGCCCTTGGAAGGCACTGCCACAACAGAACCAGTCGTGGTGCCCAGGAGATGCATATGGCACAGCGCCTTTGCTCCCAGCGTATAAGGGAAGGCAAGCTGTAAGGATTGCGTCAAGGAGCCCTTGACTCTCAGAAACCACCGAAAGGCTGTCATCTGCCTCAGGCCTTTTCTGTCATGACCCCACTGTGATGGGGTCCTGGACAGTCCTGTATCCTCTCCCACTTACTCGCACCAAGGTCTGTGCTGAGTCAGTACCCGCACAAGCCAGGCAGACACAACCCAGAGTGGCTCCCCGCAGTCTGCACCCCACTGATTGCTCCCAAATGTTGCTGCCACAGGAACTTTCCCAGGAGGAGCGCCTCCTCCAGGAAGAAGAGGGAACTAGAGCAGGGGCAGGGCAGAACAGGACCCCCTCCCAACACCCCACCTGGCCTCCTTGTTTCTAGGTTCCTCTCAAGAGTAGAAGCCTGAGGACAGACCATCCTGGGACCTCTTCAGCCCTGATGGCTGCAGAAGCTGGAGGCAGATCCCTGTGAGCTCCTGGGCCACAAAGAGTTAACTGACCTTCTCACTTGCTTGTGGTTTTCTTTCAGTGGAGAATGGTTGTTAAGGAGAAAGAAAGCAAATGGAACCAGCAATTTGGTGTCAGGGATGCCCAAAATAATCCCTCTCCAGCAGACAGGACCCCAGCTTTCTTCAAGGCAGCAGGCTTGGCCAGAGTCGGCTGGCTTCCTTCCCACACATGGGCCTTATTCATCCCCTGGGAGCCCACTACATACATGGCTCCTGCCTGCCAGCACAGCACCTTCCACTGCCCACTGGCACCTGAAGCCAGCCAGCCCTCCTCAGGGAATAGTGGGCTCTGCAAGTCAGGCTCAGCCCTGCGCCCCCACCACAGGCCACAGCAGCATCTATGTCCTCTCCCTCATCCTCCATGTCCTGGTATACAGTAGGCACTCAATAGCCGAAGATGTATGAACCAGCCCATTGACCAATGCCAGCCAGGGTCGCTCACTGGAAGTCGCTCTGCCATCTGCCCCCCGCCCCCGGGCCTCTGTTTCCCACTGTGATGAAAAGCAAGCACTTGTAGCACAACCCTGAAGGACCCTGGGGCCTGACCAGGCCAGCTGTTGCCCTTCACAGTCCAGCAGGTGCACACTCACTGCATGGGGCTATATAAGTTCATGACAATAAGATTTCTTTTTGAGACAGGGTCTCCCTGTAGCTCCAGCTGGCCTGGAACTCACTCTGTAGTCCAGGCTGGCCTCTATCTCACAGAGATGCCCCTGCCTTTGCCTCTCCAATGCTGAGATTAAAGGTATGCACCACCTTGTCCAGCTATGACAATAAGATTAAAAACACTGGCCTTGTCTCATAAGTCACTTTCCACACGTGGCTGGTGGCTCCTGCTTTGGACAGCATGGTAGGACACGTGTCTGCCACCCAAGCCAGGGTTGCATGGGTGGTGCTGGTCCCCAGTGGGTTCTATAACACAGTGTACAACGGACTCAGGGTGAAAGGACGCAGACAGGGACAGACAGCCATGTTCCCCCAGAATGGCTGCCAAGCAGCCCACTGGGACCTCCTCACACACCTGCAGAGATGAGGAGTTCACTGTTACTCAGGGCCAGCCACTCCACTACCACAGGTTAGCCCACAGTAAAAATGGAAGCCTACCTCTCTGCAGCCTGCCTCATACCTCCAGAAGCCCCACGGAGTCCACCTCGAGGAGTCACGCAGGCACAAATCCCCCCTGTGGTCCTTCAGGTTCAGCTTTGCCCAGCCTACCTTCAAGGAAGTGCCCTGCCCATCCAGCTCAGGCACCTGGCTCTTCTTGCAATGCAGCCTTTCTGGAAGGGGCTGTTCCGGAGGTCTCAGCCTGCCACACCCATGCTCCATCTGTTTGCTGGGCACAGCTTTCCCCATGGGGAAGCTCCTTCATGAGCCTTGCCAGGGCACCTTCCCCCTTTGACTAGCTGCCCTTCACCCCTGGCTCTCCCTCCATCTGGGTCCACAGAGGCAGGAGTGAGACCACCCCTCATGGGACCCCTACTGGTGCCCTTCTGTGGAGAACAGGGCCCATACCAGGACATGGCTCCTCTTCCTTGTATCTGCCATCACAGAATAAAGACTCAGTTGCTCTGCTTGTCACATGACCCTAACGGACCCCCAACAACGTGCCGGCCCACATAGTGACCCCAGTGCTCACATGCAACCTGGAGCACCCCGAAACTTTGCCTTACCCCGGAGCTGTTCCAGAGGGCTGTAGCAGCCTTCCTCCTCTGGTGCAAAGTAGCGGGCACAGTCCAGGAAGTAGGGCCAGGCCATGTCAATGGCGTCGAAGGCTGGCTGGCAGGCCTCCCGCAGACCCTCACAGATGTGTCGACAGGGCCGACGTGTGTGGCCATCCTCACACCGGGGAGCCAGCACAGAGCAACCCAGCAGCCGCAGGTCGGGGTTACACTGGCCCTCCAAAAGAAAGTGCAACACACCCAGCAGCATGTACTCGGGGCTGGACTCCACCACTTCCCACGATCGGTGCTCCAGTGGTGTGGGGAAAGCTGTCCGGTTGTAGGCGGCATCTGCACAGGTCCTGAGACGCAGGTCAACGCAGGTGGCTGGGGAAGAGAGATCGACGGATCACAGGAAGACTTAGACCCAGAGGGACCCCCACCAAGTACTAGCACCTGTAAGGCTAGGACTACTGTGGAAGAAGGACCCATGGGAGACAGACACAAGGAGGGTTCCTGAGCTGACTGTGCCCAGCCACCTGCCAGCCACTGGGCCAAGGCAGCAGGGACACTGCCTCCTCTGACACTGGACTCCTCTGTGCTGGACAGCATGGCTATTTTTCTAGCTCCATGTGGACCACTCCAACCGTCCTACCTCCTGAGGCCTCACCTGCTAGGCACAATGGAGCCTGTGGAGCACAGTTGTTGCGTGTGCGTGTGGGGGGCGGGGTGTGGGTGTGTGTGTGGTGTGTGTGGTGTGTGTGTGTGTGTGGTGTGTGTGTGTGTGGTGTGTGTGTGTGGTGTGTGTGGTGTGTGTGTGTGTGGTGTGTGTGGGTGTGGGGGGTATAACACACCCATGGAAGTCAAACAACAGATTCGGGGAATGCTTTCTCTGTTTCCACCTTTATGTGGGTTCTACAGATCAAACTCAAATTGCCAGGCTGACACGAAAAAGGCCTTTACCTGTGGTGAGTAACCTCTTGAGAACAACAGATTCGTGGAATGC